GAGCAACCACCGAGACTTTGCTCAATAGAAAGGTCTATACCTTGGGCCTCCCCAGGCGTTGGCTAGGTGAGGGACACCTGTGGGAGCAGATACTTACGATGAAGACTTTTCCACTCCAGTGGCCCTGCATGAGGGGGCAGGGACTCATCACCGCCATGGCCATGTTGTAGGCCCCAAAGCCGGTCCCAAGTAATGTGAGGACCCCCAGGAATAGCAGAGACCTAGGGCAGAGTGGGGGAAAGGAATAGAGCAGGTAAGAAGCCTGACCTCTGCCTCCCCCACCCTGGAGCCACATGGAATGGGCAGCACCTCTAGGGTTAGACCCATGTGGAAACTTCCAGGCCACCAGGCTCAAGTGGGTCAGTGAGGCTCCTGAGGAACAAGGCTGGCCTAAGTCACCCTGGAGAAACAGAATAAATGACTGTGGTCCTACATGGACCTGGTTCTAATCTCAGTTCCACCATTTAAGCTGAGACTGGTCCCTGAGCTTCAGTTTCCTCACATGTGAAATGAGTCTTGGGGGGACCTGTGGGGACAGAATGTGCAGGGTCTGGCCCTGGCTGTGGGCCCTACCTGGTATTTCACCTGCTGCCATTTCCTCCTGCAACATGCAACACACCCAACCTCAGACAGGATGCTGGGCCGAAGAGGTGGCTCTGATCATGGCACTGGCACTGCAGGGCGTGGTGTGTAACCCCTGGCCTCAGCTACCCCTGTTTACAACTGAGGTTTGCATGGTCTGGGGGCCCTGGGGGCCAGCTTGGATGCCTTCCATTCAGAATCCAGGTCTCTGTCCCCTGTCCTATCTTCAGAACACCAAGGCTGGCCTGTGTGCTGGTGAGCGCAGCGGGTCTGCCCCTGCCTCTAAGGACTCTTTCTAAGCCCCAGGGGAGACAATTGAGCTTTCTAGGCACATGCACATTTTCTGTCTAACTCTCCTGTACTCATTCTCTGCTTCCCGGGATGCGGGAGGTGGATGTGGCTGGTGGGGGTGGACAGGGCTGGGGAGGGTGGGTGTGTGCAGGTCGGAGAGGCCAGTGAGGGCGTGCAGGACGGGTAGATGGGAGGCAGTGGGACCTGAAGTTTCCAGACTCCAAGGTGGACTTTTCTCCCATGGGGGTCTGAAACTCTTGTGTCAGAACCATTTTAAGTTGCTTATTAAAATTTGAAATCCCAGGTCCAATCTAGGCTGGCTCCACCTGCATCCTATCAATTTGCCCAGCCATTCTTTAGAACTGCAGCTGCAAGGGAACCAGCCTGGGCTGGAGACAGGTGGGCAGGGCTGAAATCCTGGAAATCAGAGCAGGGCCAACCCTGTCTCTGAGCCTCAGGGTTTCCATTTGTAAATGGGAACCTCAGTTCCCGCTGGTTGCTGCTTCTCATGGCAGTGATGGTTGACACACTGGACCTGCCATGCCCCAGGCACTGCTCTGAAAGCTTTACAAAATTAGCTCATCTCATACTCCCAGTCATAGGAGGCAGAACAATTATTATCCCCATTTTTCAGATAAGTATCCCTGAGGCACAGAGAGGTAGAGTGACTTGTCCAATATCTCACAGCTAGTAAGTGGCAGAGCTGGGATTTGAACCCGGGCGGTCTAGCCCCAGAAACCATATGATTAACCGCTATACATACAGCCCGATGGTGGGGTTTGGAATTCTGGCTTTTGAAATGAAGCACACCCCCAACCAGAGCTCCCCCGCGCCAGCTGGAGGTAGACCTTTTAGGCAGGAACATGGAGATGAAGCAGGCCAGAGGGTTGGCCATGGAGCTGAGGGTGGCGGACAGGTGGTAGGCGACAGGCCCGTAGGGCAGGCAGGAGTAGGTCTGCACCGAGGGCAGCACGCCGTTGGTGAGCGCGTTCACCAGGGCCACCAGGGCGTAGGTGAAGGGCAGAGGGGCTGGGCAGCGGGGCGCCGGCTTCTCCTCCAGGCGGCCCTGGCAGCGGGGCGCCGGCTTCTCCTCCAGGCGGCCCTGGCTCAGACTGCCCGGGTCCTCTCCCAGTGGCCGGATGGAGTGGAGGGTGACCTGGGAGGCGAGGAGGTCTTCCGTGGAGGTTTTCCAGCGCCTGGCCTGCCGCTGGAGGAGAAAGACGGCCAGGAGGGAGCAGGCCACCATGGAGGAAAGCAGCAGGAAGAAGACCGAGGGCGAGAAGTTGGCCGGGAGGTAGCGGCTTTCCAGGCGGCCCGTGGAGGGGGCTGTCCCAGGGAGGCCTGGCGCAGAAGTGCTGCCGTTTCCCTGGGGAAAGACGCAACGAGGCTCATGACCCCTGGGTGACACCGGGACCCAAGTACCAACGTTGATAATGATAACATACAACAACTACGATGCACCATCATCATCGCTAATCCTCCCCCGAAGATATTTTTTCCATTGATTTTCCAGAGAAAGTGGCAGGGAGGGGGAGAGACTGTGAGAGAGACACAGTGGTTGCTTCCCGCACGCCCCCGACTGGCGCTGGGAGGGAGCAGAAATAAAACCCGAGACCCTTCAGTCTCTGGGCCGGGGCTCTAACCACTGAGACAACTGGCCAGGGCGATGCACCATTGCTAACAAGTACATGATGAATAATATACACGTGTAACTACTGAGGCCATGATAAGAAATGCTCGTACTGGCCAGCTGCTCACTGGGCACCAGCACTTTGCATGCATCACCTCGCGTGCACCTCCTAACTCTTACAAAATTTCTCTCCTGGTTTGGATGTTTCTTAAATTGACAGCTGTTTTAACACTATGAGGTGCTGAAGCGCTGTCTAAGCATATGGTTCTTAGCCCCGGCTGAACACTAGCATCACCTGGGGAATTTTGAATAAATACAAGTTCACAATCTATATTTTGAAATTCTGAAATTCAAAAAGCTCAGAATTTATGATTCAGTTGGCAGCAGTTCGACAGGATGTGAGGCCGTTGACATGAGGCCATTGGCAGCCCTAATCTAGCAGTGGGCACGGATGCCTCCAGATGTGGACAGTGGTGTCACCGCGCCGGAATGCTGCAACACAGGCGGGGCAGGCGTGTTCTAAAAGCGGGAACTCCAGATTCCAAAACATATCTGACCTCAAGGATTTCCAGAAAGCCTCACGCACAGAGTCTTATTTAATTGGTCTGGCTGTGGGGGGCCCACTGGTGTGTTTCAGTAGCTCTCCCAGGTAGTCTAAAGTGCCACCAGGTCAAGGCCATGGCTCCACCTAAAGCTTTGGAAACACGAGCCCTCCGCACTGTCCCGCTCTGGCGAGCACAGAGCACCGCGCCAGCTCCGGGCGATGCCGGGTACCTGTGGGATGTCGGCCTTCCTGGTGGTGGTAACACTTGAGGTGCTGTTAGGCGTCTCAGTGACATTGACGCAGGTGGTGAGACCCGAGCCCTGGGCGAGAGCCACCAGCGCAGGTAGGAGGCCGCTGAGTCCTTCCCCCACAAAGTAGGTGGTGAGGTAGTGGGCGGACAGCTGGCTCATGAAGGGCAGGAAGGTGACGGAGGAGGTGCAGTCCACCAGGGCCAGGAAGAAGGTGAGGACCATGAAGGTGATGCTGTGGGGGCTGCCCTGCACCCAGGTGACATTCCAGAAGAAGGCCAAGAGGGTGCAGGCCACGGTGCCCACGCCCAGCACGGCGAAGATGATGGGCACCTCGGAAAGGCAGCCGGGCCGGAAGTGGTGGAGCAGGGTGAAGATGAGGGGGCCCACGTTAGCCAGCTGGATGATCACTGTGAGGTAGGAGGGCAGGTACCAGCCCTCAGGCAGCTCCAGCACCAGTAGGGGCAGCTCTACCCAGAGCCCGTTGATGGCCACCCAGGAGCCCATCCCAAAGGCGCAGACCAGCAGGTGTGTCAGAAGGGCCATGGTGATGCCTGCCCTGGGCCAGAGGCTGCCACCTCCCAGACCAGCCTGCAGCAGAGAAAAATACCAGGTGAGCAATGTCAGGTTCACTGTCTAGCAAAAGACTGGGCTTTGGGGCCCAGAGTTTTCCCTTATTCCCTTCTTCATGAACAAGTGGGCTTTTAATTAGCAGGACACATGAACAAAGTCCTTTATAACTAACTTCAGTAGGAAAGACTTTCTAACCATGACTTTAAAGCCAGAGACCACCAAAGAAAAGTTTGCTACATTCAACTGCATAAATATCAAAACACAAAAGCACACAGAAAGCCAACCAGGGTCCTAGCTGTGTGGCTCAGTTGGCTGGAGCGCCATCCCCTACACCAAACGGTTGCAGGTTCGCTTCCCAGTCATATACCTAGGTTGCGGGTTCAAGCCCCAGGGGGGGAGCGTATGGGAGGCAACAGATCTCGATGTTTCTCTCTCAAATCAATAAAACATATCCTCAGGTGAGGATTAAAAAATTAACAAAATACTCCGTAAAAAATGCCACAGCAAGATCAAAAGACAGATGACAACCTGGGGGAATATTTGTAATTTAAATCACAGGCAAAAGGCTCATCTTCCTAATACATAATGAGTTTTCAGAAATTAAGAACAAAAAGACCCAGTAGAGAGCTGGGAAAAAGATGTAAAAAGTTCAGAGAAAAGGTACAAATAAGCCTTAAACATATGAAAAGATTATCACTTTCATTCATTATGGGAAATGTAAATAACGATGACTCCAAGGTGCTATTTCTCACCATGAGATTGTCCCAAAGGGTTACCTACCCTGGACAAAATCCACGTGGATGAGGTTGTTATTCCTTGTGGCCTTGCTGGTAATAGCAAAATATAGGCAATGACTCAAATGCCTGTCAATAAAGGAGAGGCTAAAAAGGGAATGTCTATGAGTTGGAATGAGGAACGTGGGAGAGCTCCCAGGCGGACAAGGGACAGGTCTCAAGGCTATTTGATAAGGGAACAACATCGAGGTAGGCAGACAGTGTGCTTGCTGCCTTTTGGACACAGGAAACAGGCTGCTTTGTGCTTGCAGTTGCACAAAGCAACCCTTGGAGAACACACCGGAACTGCTAGAGTGTTTGTGGCGCCTATACAAGAAGATCTGTAGCCCCAGCTGGGTGGCTCGTTTGGTTGGAGCTTCGTCCTGCACACCAAAAGGCTGCAGGTCCGATCGCCAGTCAGGGCACACACCTAAGTTGTGGGTTCTATCTCTGGCTGGGGTGCGTGGGGGAGGCAACTGATCAGTTTCTCTCTCCCATTGATNACAATCTATATTTTGAAATTCTGAAATTCAAAAAGCTCAGAATTTATGATTCAGTTGGCAGCAGTTCGACAGGATGTGAGGCCGTTGACATGAGGCCATTGGCAGCCCTAATCTAGCAGTGGGCACGGATGCCTCCAGATGTGGACAGTGGTGTCACCGCGCCGGAATGCTGCAACACAGGCGGGGCAGGCGTGTTCTAAAAGCGGGAACTCCAGATTCCAAAACATATCTGACCTCAAGGATTTCCAGAAAGCCTCACGCACAGAGTCTTATTTAATTGGTCTGGCTGTGGGGGGCCCACTGGTGTGTTTCAGTAGCTCTCCCAGGTAGTCTAAAGTGCCACCAGGTCAAGGCCATGGCTCCACCTAAAGCTTTGGAAACACGAGCCCTCCGCACTGTCCCGCTCTGGCGAGCACAGAGCACCGCGCCAGCTCCGGGCGATGCCGGGTACCTGTGGGATGTCGGCCTTCCTGGTGGTGGTAACACTTGAGGTGCTGTTAGGCGTCTCAGTGACATTGACGCAGGTGGTGAGACCCGAGCCCTGGGCGAGAGCCACCAGCGCAGGTAGGAGGCCGCTGAGTCCTTCCCCCACAAAGTAGGTGGTGAGGTAGTGGGCGGACAGCTGGCTCATGAAGGGCAGGAAGGTGACGGAGGAGGTGCAGTCCACCAGGGCCAGGAAGAAGGTGAGGACCATGAAGGTGATGCTGTGGGGGCTGCCCTGCACCCAGGTGACATTCCAGAAGAAGGCCAAGAGGGTGCAGGCCACGGTGCCCACGCCCAGCACGGCGAAGATGATGGGCACCTCGGAAAGGCAGCCGGGCCGGAAGTGGTGGAGCAGGGTGAAGATGAGGGGGCCCACGTTAGCCAGCTGGATGATCACTGTGAGGTAGGAGGGCAGGTACCAGCCCTCAGGCAGCTCCAGCACCAGTAGGGGCAGCTCTACCCAGAGCCCGTTGATGGCCACCCAGGAGCCCATCCCAAAGGCGCAGACCAGCAGGTGTGTCAGAAGGGCCATGGTGATGCCTGCCCTGGGCCAGAGGCTGCCACCTCCCAGACCAGCCTGCAGCAGAGAAAAATACCAGGTGAGCAATGTCAGGTTCACTGTCTAGCAAAAGACTGGGCTTTGGGGCCCAGAGTTTTCCCTTATTCCCTTCTTCATGAACAAGTGGGCTTTTAATTAGCAGGACACATGAACAAAGTCCTTTATAACTAACTTCAGTAGGAAAGACTTTCTAACCATGACTTTAAAGCCAGAGACCACCAAAGAAAAGTTTGCTACATTCAACTGCATAAATATCAAAACACAAAAGCACACAGAAAGCCAACCAGGGTCCTAGCTGTGTGGCTCAGTTGGCTGGAGCGCCATCCCCTACACCAAACGGTTGCAGGTTCGCTTCCCAGTCATATACCTAGGTTGCGGGTTCAAGCCCCAGGGGGGGAGCGTATGGGAGGCAACAGATCTCGATGTTTCTCTCTCAAATCAATAAAACATATCCTCAGGTGAGGATTAAAAAAATAACAAAATACTCCGTAAAAAATGCCACAGCAAGATCAAAAGACAGATGACAACCTGGGGGAATATTTGTAATTTAAATCACAGGCAAAAGGCTCATCTTCCTAATACATAATGAGTTTTCAGAAATTAAGAACAAAAAGACCCAGTAGAGAGCTGGGAAAAAGATGTAAAAAGTTCAGAGAAAAGGTACAAATAAGCCTTAAACATATGAAAAGATTATCACTTTCATTCATTATGGGAAATGTAAATAACGATGACTCCAAGGTGCTATTTCTCACCATGAGATTGTCCCAAAGGGTTACCTACCCTGGACAAAATCCACGTGGATGAGGTTGTTATTCCTTGTGGCCTTGCTGGTAATAGCAAAATATAGGCAATGACTCAAATGCCTGTCAATAAAGGAGAGGCTAAAAAGGGAATGTCTATGAGTTGGAATGAGGAACGTGGGAGAGCTCCCAGGCGGACAAGGGACAGGTCTCAAGGCTATTTGATAAGGGAACAACATCGAGGTAGGCAGACAGTGTGCTTGCTGCCTTTTGGACACAGGAAACAGGCTGCTTTGTGCTTGCAGTTGCACAAAGCAACCCTTGGAGAACACACCGGAACTGCTAGAGTGTTTGTGGCGCCTATACAAGAAGATCTGTAGCCCCAGCTGGGTGGCTCGTTTGGTTGGAGCTTCGTCCTGCACACCAAAAGGCTGCAGGTCCGATCGCCAGTCAGGGCACACACCTAAGTTGTGGGTTCTATCTCTGGCTGGGGTGCGTGGGGGAGGCAACTGATCAGTTTCTCTCTCCCATTGATGTTTCTCTCTCTCCCTTCCTCTCTCAAATCAGTAAACATATCCTCGGGTGAGAATTAAAAAAAAAAAAAAAAAAAAAGATGTGTAGACCTTTTTATATAGTTTTGACTTGTGAACCATGTAAACATACTATTACAAAAATATGGTTACTTGACATCAAATTCCAATCTGGCATTTTTCTCCTGAAATTACAGAACTCCCTAGCTGGACAGGCCCTGAGAGACTGCCTAACTCTAGCCCCCTGGAGCCATTCTGCCATCTGCTTCCACCTTCCCAGTGACCTGCTGTTACTCTCTTTGATCTCCCCTCAGTATAAGCAAAAATACTGGAGGCCAGATGCGAGGCTCTGGAGCAGCTGCCTGGGCCTGAACCCAGCTCTGCCATTTACTACAGTGATTTTGGGCAAGTGACTCTGCCTCTCACTACCTCACTTTCCTCATCTGTAAATAGGACATTGACGGTGTCAATGAAATGCAAACATGTTAAGGAGCTTCTGTTGTCTCAGACTACACCTGGCACACAGCGAGCGCTCACTGAGGGTTAGCTGTTATCATTACCGTGAAATGCCAGGTTTGGGGACATCGTTATTTTTTTCTAATTCACGTGAAAATGGACACGTGATTATTCAAATTTAAAAAGGGGAGAAAATTCCCCATGAGGAGCCACGTGAAATCACTGGCGGTACCCATGTACTGTTTGGGGGGAGAGAAATGCCAAAGTCGATTGGACCAGCCCCTCCTTTTACAGATGGGAAGCAGGGTGGGGTCCGCAGGGGTGCAGGGACTCTCCTGAGACGGGGAGGTGGGATTTGGAGCCAGTCCCCTGCGGCACTTGGCTCCCCACTCCCCCTGCATGACCCTGCAGTGACCCCGGTCCCTTGGTTCTGTGAAGTTCACACTGCAGTCTAACTCCTTGTCGCTGTTCTTCTAGAACGTGCAGGAGTGTCTCTTTCTTCTTCTTCTCTTTTAAAAATATATCTTTATTGGTTTCAGAGAGAGGAAAGGAGAGGGAGAGAGAGAGACAGAAACATCAATGATGAGAGAGTCATTGATCGAGCCCACAACCCGGGCATGTGCCCTGATTGGGAATCGAACCCTGGTCACCGGGATCCCAGGTCGACGCTCAACCCCTGAGCCACGCCCGGCCGGGCCTTCTTCTTTTTTAAATTCTCACCCAAGGACGTTTTCATTAATTTTAGAGAGAAAGGGAGAGGGGGCGGGGGAGGGGGGGAGAGAGAGAAACGTCGATTGGCTGCCTCCCATATGCGCCCTGACTGGGGGTTGAATCCACAACCCAGGTATGTGCCCTGACCCAAAATTGAACCTGAAACCTCTTGGTGCACAGGGCGATGCCCAATGAACTGAACCACCCGGGCAGGGCCTAGGAGTGTCTCTTGTGGCTCTGCGCCACCGAGGAAAGTCCCAACACCACAGCAAGGTTCCCACACCCAGAATTAGCTGTCCAGCGCCCCACTCCCTTCTTCCTCCGTCCTTGCAGCAGAAAGCAGCCTGCATTCAGTCCCGATGGCCCGCCACCTCCTGTCCCCACCTCAGCTAAGCCACTTAAACTGTCTCTCGCCTGTGAAGCTGGCCCAACAGCCCAGGACAGCCTGGCTCCGGGGCACCAAGGGGTCCCACTGGAGAGGAGCAGCTCCGGGCAGTGGCCTCCTGCCTGGCTGCTCCCCCCTTTGCCTGTGCTCCGCTCCAAGCCTGAGCCCAGGTCCCCTTCATGTGAGGTTTTCGGTCGTGGACACATACAGGCACATTTCTGGGGAGACTGAAGCTGTTAGAGGCTGCTTTGGAACATGGCATTCTGAAGGCAGAAGAGCTTTTCAAATGACAGAGCTCAGGGTTTGTAAATTGGTCACCCCTTGGCCTTAGCCAGGCAGCAGGTGCGTTATTTCGGTTTTCTGTATGTTATAAACAATTAGTTGCTGAAAGTTGGGCGGTAGCATACAAAACTCAAGATTTCTGGTTTCTTGGAATCTTATGTCAAATCTCACAGTAAAAATCGGTATGGGGGGTGGGGTGTGTTTTGTAGGTCTTCAGTTTTAAAAATTTCCATTTCTCTAGTAATTCATTTTTACTATAAAAGTAAAAATGCAAGAGTTTGCAGCAGATTGGAAATAAAGACTGGAGCTTGCCCAAGGGGAAAAAAGATTTCTGGTTTGTTGAGAATATTCTGAAAGACCACACTAGGCCTGCATACCCAGTGGCAACCATCACTGTTGGCCCTCTTTAACTTGGGGTTCCTGCCTGGACCCCACCTGGTCCTGTAGGCACAGCAACCCCTTATTTTTGAGGATGGCTTGCCCAGGGCCTCTTACTAGCTGTGGGCAACGTAGGGGCTGGAATCCAGTTTTGGGCCTCTCTCTCAGTCCTGGACTCCCGGCACTGCCTCCAGCGACCTTACTGCTCTCTCCTGCAGTAAAATCCCAGCTTCAACCCTCCCAAGCTGAACACATGACTTAACCTCCTGTGCCTGACACCTCTTCTGCAAAATGGGGAGGCTCCCAGTACCAACATCAGAACTGTAATGACCATGAGCTTGCAAAATGCTAGAATAGTACCTGACACTAAGTGCTCGATAAACATTACCTGTTCTAATTACTATTTCATATTTCAGCAAATTATATAAACTGCACTTGAAAACATGCAATTAGCCTGAACACACTTTTGGATACAACACAAGTAATTCCTGATGGCGAAATTTTGTTATTGCTTCCTCTTAAGCAATCAACAAGGGATAATTAAGCACCTACTTTGTGTCCACAGCTCTGAGGGATGAAAGCAAAAAAGCCACAGGGGCTGTCCCCAGAGAAAAGTTTGAGGAAGTGGTGTGTGGGCTGCCGAACTCAAGTGCAACCACGGCCAAGGCAGAAGTGAGCTGGAGGTAGAGAGGAGGGGCTGCTGGGACTAGAGAGGGGGGCAGAATTTCTCCCCCTACCTTGGCCAAGGCAGGTAACGTAACGGCTGCAAAATCAGTGGAGTGGAGGAGGGATAGGATCTCTTTCAAAGACCAGGAGCTCTGGCATGTGAGGGCAATCTGGCTGGGCCATCTGTCACCCCATTGATCTACAGGGTTGATTCAACTGATCTGGCTGTCTAGGTGGGTGTCACCTTCCTCTCTCACTACTGCCTGTGAGACTCTCCCAAAGCTGCGCTCTCTCTAGAATAGGATGACCTTCCTTGATAGAGGAGAGGACTGTTCTTTGGACAAGTGTGTATGAGTAGCTGTGTTCTCCTGCTAGATCCTCCAAACAAGCTCTCAAAAACCAAGAGCTCTGGTGCCACTTCCCAGCTTCCCACTGTACTGTCCAAGAAGACCCAGAAGCAGGTGATGGCTGCCCACTCCACCTGAGACCAGAATCTGGTGTAACGCAGGCAGAATGCCACTGAAGAAAAGCTGCATGCCAACTCAGGCAGAGTGCTGGTTACAGTTGGTGAAACAGTATGGAAGGAAAAACAGAACATTGTTTGATATTCCAAGGCTGAGGCTTCTAGATGCTCCTCAATGGCCATTCTTTCCTTCTTCCTTAGTTGTTACAGAGACTAGATTTTTTGGTTGGGCAAACAGCCACCAAGCTAAAGGACTACATCTCCCAGCCTTCCCTGTAGCTAGGCATGGCCATGTGATCAAGCTGAGGACAGCAAGGTTATAAGGGACTTAAGAAATCTTAGTGATAAGGGAATGCAGAGTT